GGGCACTTCAGGTAACATGGGAAGCACCTGGGGGAGGCAGGCCAGAGGAAGCCTGCAAGGCAGCCTGGGAGAAGAAAGAGGAGACGGGTCCAAGACTCGTGGAATTACCTGCCTCCTGCCTCCTCCTCTCCTGCCCCTGTGAGACAGCGCTGGCGATAGTAGCTGTGAATCAAGAGGTGAGGTCAAGGTCTCATCCTGCCATTACTGGCCTGAAGCCTGGGGAATGGCTTATCGTCTCAGCCTCAGTTTATTTATCTGCACCATAGGGATAGCTAGAGTGGCCCCAGTTAGCTCTCAGTTAGCACCAGCCCCACCCAGGAGCTTGTCAGAAATGCCAGTTCTCCAGCCTCACCCAGACCCAGCCTATGGGAATCCAGGGTGGGCCCATCGCTCTGCATTTTTAAGGAGCCCTCCAGGTGACGTCGTCTGATGCACACTCAGGTATGTGAGCGCCTGTACGAAAGCGTTCTTTACCTTCTTTTATAGAGGCTGGAGAGCTGTTTTGCAAATATAATCATTTTATAAGAACTATGACCTAAAACCAAGACGGTGGTAGTCATTATTTCAAGCTCTGGATTTTCTCGCTTAAAATTTGGAAGGCTTTTTAGGGGGTGGTTTGCATAAGCGTCTCTTACAGAGTCAACCCCAGAAGTTTAAAGGACGCCCACTTTCATCCACGCGCTTCTGTTGGGCCCTGACCATGGAGGGGGGCCGAGACTCTTGTATGCTCTCGGTTGCACCCCACGGAGCCCTGCTTTCAGGCCTCACTAACATCAGGTGGTTAAGAAAGGCCAGCTGGTGGTTTTAGGTCCCGTCTGCAACATAGATGCTTGAGCAGTAATGACCACTGTTTTTGCTCACTTGTGCATTTGTTCATTTATTCATTCATTTCCCAAATATGTACTGAGTACTGCTATGTGCCAGGCCCTGGACCTGGTGCCTGGGACCCAGCAGGGGACATGACATGCAGGGGTCTGCCCTGTGGACATGCAGTGTGGGAAGTGGGCATGGGACAGCAAGTTCTCCACCATGCCCTCCACTCCCTAATGAATGACACGAGGCATGCTGGGGGCCTGTGGCGGGGCAGGGTGTCAGCTCTGTGAGGACAAGGGCCTTGCTTTGCTGGCTAAGGTTTCCCCTGCTTTAGGCATAGTGCCTGGCACATAGTAGGTGTGTATTCAACATTTGTTAGATTAATGAGTGAATTAAAAATGCAGTTAATCTATCCCACTGGGCTAATTGCCCCAGAGGGAGCAAAGCAGTGTATTAACAATGGGGCTGGACTGATCTGAGGGTCCAGGCAAGTTTCCCTGTGGGATGAGGAGTGTTACACCTCATTGAAGAGTATGGGCAGAGACTTCCTGGCACAGGGCACAGCCTGTGCATAGGCCCTGAGGTACCAAGGGGCTTGGTGCACTTGAGCTTGGAGTGGTGCGTCCATGATGAGGCTGGAAGGCTGGGCTGGGGCTTCGGGAGTCTTGGGGAGGATTTCTGCCTTTATCCTTGAACAAGAGGCCATGGGAGTGTATGAAACCCAGGAGTGACAAATTAGAGCTTCCTTTTGTGAGATCCCTGGGGCTGCAATTTAGAAAATGAACTAGAGGGGAGTCAACTGGGTGAGGGGCCTGTGTGATCAGTTTGTCCTTCAAGATCCCAATGCTCTGAGGCCCTCTTATAAGAGTCAGGGCTCTGGGCCCACGGTGCTGGGTAGCAGTGGGGTGGCATCCAGGTGGAAGGAGGGAGGGAGGCGCCCATGTGCTTAGAGCTTCGTGGAGGAAAGGAGGAAGTCAGGCCAAGTCATGTGGGTCCTTGTGTGGAAAGGAAGGGGGCCGCGGGAGATAACCTCTGCCAAGTTCTCCTGGTGGGGAGCTAGGCCTGGGCGTTGAGAGGGCCAGACTGCTGAATGCTGGCTTCCGGACAGGCCAGCTGTGTGAGACAGCTGCCCTGAGCAGCCATCCTCTTCCCCTTGTGGCCAGGATTAGACCAGGATTAACTGTCCTGGAGCTGAGCGGGCACAAGCTAACATACACAACCACACATACACACCGCGTGCACACACACACATACACGTGTGTGCACACTGTCACACAGGGGACACATATGCACACACACATGTGTGCACGAGGCAGCCCCCAGTACCTCCAACAAAGGGCAGACCACCCCTACCTGCAGGTCCTTTAGCTTCTGCTTCTGGAAGGCGTCCACTGTCTCCTCTAGCTGGTGGGTAGTGCGGCTGGCGTCCACCGAGGCCCTCTGCACGCTAGTCTCTGCCTGCCCCAGTGACAGAAAGTATCCGGGGCAGCTCCATTCTGGATCATTCTGTCTCCTTGCCCTGCTTGTGGGCCAGCTCTCCTGCCTCATGGGTGTCTCTTGCCAATTTGGTCATCCATAGGAATGGCCAAGTAGGACCATGGCTAAAGGGGCAGGCACTGCTTGGACAGACTTGCTTGCTAGCCTGTGTGACCTCGGGCAAGTCACTTAACCTCTCTGAGCCTCCATGTCCTTGCTTATAAACAGGGGACAGTAATAAAACCTGCTTTGCAGGATTGTTGTAAGAGTTCAACGGTGGGCACTAGCCGAGCTATTATTATAACAGGTGCTCCACGTTAGACAATAATTCATTCCAGCCTGTGGAACATTCTTAGGTAATTAATTCCTTGGTTCCTTCAATTGACATCTGTATGANGGGCGAGCTCCTCCCTGGTCTCCCATCCACCGAGTGACTGAACCTACCCTATTGTCAGGAGGCTGCTTAGAGCCTTTACTTAGCTGCTTGGCTAAATACTCAGAGGTTTCCTGCAGAACTATACATGTGCCTGATCACAGGCCTCGCTGGGCTCATGAGGTCACAGTAGTATATGCACAGTATTACTTTCCTGAAGTCTGAGAAATGCTGACTTCTGAAACCCACGGGGACGAGGGCTGGGAGGCGAAAGAGCAATGCCTCTAGGGGGCGCTCGGGACGCGTGGCGGCCGCACCGCTGGGGTCTGTGGTTTAATTTATTCCTCTTCCAGGTAAGTCCAGGTCAGACTCGCCAGCAGCCCTCCACACTCCCCCAGCAGCGCCACTTTCTCAGCGACTGGTTTCAAACCCATGTTGTAGATGGCCAGCCCCCCCAAAGTGAGGTCACTTCACTTGGTCACAGGTTTGACAGCCCCACCCCTAGTGCTCACCTGGACCGGAAGAGACCATGGGACAGCTGCTGAGGGGGTGGTATCCGTGAACGGCCGAGCATCGCAATGCCCATAAACTCCACGCATCTTGGCTCTAAAATCCTGATGAGGAGAGGACGGTTTAGATCCAATCAGGAAACAGACAGGTGGGAAGGGAAGATGGTGGAACAAAAGGCTAGTGCAGAGCTAACACTGCCGAGCCCCCACCTGCACCCACCTATCAGGGGGCCTCCTGTTCATGATTCTATATGACCTACAACAGCCAGGTAAGTGGGCATTATCATCCTTTTTTTATAGATGGGGAGACTGAGGCCCTGAGAGGCTAGGTAACATGCCCATAGTCGCACAGGGAAAATTAGAGATCACTCTTACCCCTAAAGGAATATCACAGAGATGAGTGAATGCACAAGAGCCCATTTGATCTGCCTTTAACCTCATGTGGTAGTTTTAAAGCTTATCTACAAAGTCTTTGACGCATTTCCCATCAGGAGCTGGAGTACACGTCTTCTCCCCTTGAAGGTGGCCTTAGCGACTCACTTGTAAGGAATAGAATGTGACAGAAGCAACGACACTAAGTTACTTCTAAGGTTAGGTCATAAAAGGTGATACAGTTTCTGCCTGACTCTCTCGCATACTCGAT